TTTTGCCTCCCTTACTACAGCCAAATGGACTTCTTTTGAGTTCTTTCAACACAAAGTCATTGTCACTTTAGGGTTTTTGCACTGCCTTTCCCTTGTCCAGGAGTGTTCTTCCTCCTCACATCACAGTGCTGGGCACTGGTCATCATTCAGATAGATCTTGGGTGTAATCTCCTTAGCACACCCATCTGAAGCAGTCACCACATCATTCTCTTATCACACCCGTTTTAATTTTCTGCCTGACACTTATCACCACCTGATATTTTTCTTGCTTACTTTTATGTGTTTGTTGCCTTGCTCCATTCATTTGTTAATTCATTCAGTTATTTAATACGTTTGGTGCCAGTTACGGGGGATACAGCAGTAAAGAAAGTCTGTAGCCTTGTGGAAAGGCAATCAACAAATATTTATATAATACATCAGAGAATGATAAAATTCTCTAAATAGAGTTAAAAGGATAGACAATGATGAGGGGTGCTTTTTTAGATACAGTGACAAGGAAGGCCTCTCCAATATGTGCCATTTGAGCAGAACTCCAAATGCATGTAAACTCCAAGGGAACATAGTTTCATTTATCACAATATTTTCAGCAAGTCAATGTATACTTGGTATATTATAGTTAGGTTAGTAAATACTTAAGCCATGAATAAATATGCATACCTCTCTCCTAGCACTTATAATACTGCATTTACTCCTCTGGCTCCCAAAAGGGACTTTGAATTTCATCAACAGGAAATGAATCTTCTTTTCCTCCATCCCTAGTATCTAACACAGAGTCTGGCTTAGAGTAGACATGAGACTGTTTGCAGAATAAAGGAAAAAGGAAGTAGGGATTATGATGAACCAGGCAGTCATAACACACTAAGGACACCCTGTAAACGACTGCTTGAGTTGACATGCATTTCTAAGAACCATGTGAATTTCAACTAGTAAGTTATATAAATGATGAGACACAGTAGTATCAGAATTGTTAGTGATTCTTTTCTAAAACTAATTTCTTTCAAATCAAACTTTGGAATATTTAAAAGCAAAGAAGCAACAGACTTCTCTCACTTTTTTCTGACCTGGACCTATCTTGCTGTCTCATACTATTTGGAGTCTACTTTAACAAACTGCAAAGTCCCACAGACCAACACACAGCTGAATCTTGCAGATATTCAGAAGGTAGATTTGGGCCTTTAGCAAAAACAGACTAACTGAACTATAACACTGGGCATTTTAGCACTTCTGTTTGAAAATAAATGAGCATTTCTGAACCACCACCAGACATAGTCATGATGACAAGCAATGAAACCCAACACAGGAAAGGTCACCAATAGCCCACAGCACAGCAGTCCTAACGGCAGCTCTGTGCCTCCTGCATGCTCTGTGCAGATACAGTCACTCTTTTCTTAAACAGAACTTGAAAGATATAGAAAACTAAGCTCCAGCCATATTTCTTATTGAGCAGCCAAGAAAAATGGAAAAATTATGATGTGAAAGATCAAAAATGGAAATCTCTTATTTTTTCCTACCGCATGCCATTCACTTGCATTGAAACGCTTAGTAAAGGCTAGATCCAGAAAAAGACAAAATTTGATGGTGGCAAAAACTGTTTGTTCCTGCCTCTCAGGTATCTTCCCTCTTACCCTCTGAGTGCTACCCTCCCCCATAATGATGTCCTGGATGATGGAGGATCCAGGACTTGCCCTCTGCTCACCTAGGCCCAGTGCTTTAGTGTTCTTAGCACCAGGCTGCCACGTCTGTTTCTAGCAAGATTCCACTGAACCTTCTCCATTTTAAAGCCACTGGGGTTAGACTCTCAATGCCCATTAAGGCGAAAATTAAAAGGGCCAAACTGTGTTTCCTAAGTGCTATTTCAAGAATTATTGGTGTTCCTCAGATTACTAAGCCAAAAAATTGTTCAGTGATTAAAGGGGAACTCTGAAAACACAGCATACTGTATTGTCCACTTGGAAAGTCACAACACACATTGGGATGCTTAAAAGAGTAAAATAAAAAGAAAAATTCCAAATAATTTTCAGTCGGGGAATAGTTAAATGCATTCAGGAACAGTAATCAGCTGTTAAAAAAGGTAATCTAGACCACTACATACTATTATGAAAACATCTCATAGACATGCTGTTAAGTAAAAACCAAGTCACATTTCTGAACATGACTAATATCCTATTAAAAAACCCAAATCCTATGTGTGCATATATGCTTTTTATGTAACACAGTAAAATATATAAACATTCAAAAAGGATGTATACCAAATTATTAAGAATGATAGCCTCTGGGAGCATTGCGGGGAAGAGGGAGGCTTGCACTTTTTATAGATTTAGATATTATTTGAATTATTTTATAGCCCTTTTATTACTTTTATAATAAAAAATCAAGTGTGATATTAAAAAAACAGACATAAAATCCAGCAGTACATACATCTGTTTAGCCTTAAGTTTGCCCTTCTCAAACTCATGTGATCACTGAGCCTGTTTGTGGAACATTTAGAAACAACTTGTGCCACAACTTTGGAAGTTACTGTGGTCAAGGTTCTCCCATCAGCATATGGGCTTTAACCTTCCGTGGCCTTCTGTAAATGAGGGAAGGAGGTAGGAGGGACCTCGGAGATGATATGGTACAGTCTCCTCATTTCTGAAATGAAGAGACTAAGACCGTGAAAAGTGAAGGGCCTTGGCAAGATCAGATTGGACCCCCCCCATGCTTGTCTACCTCCTTCCACATCATTCCTGCAGTCACCAGGTGACCTAGATGGGCCATGGGCCTTGGTTTTCATAAAAAGTCTCCAACACTCAAAGAAATTGTCAGGACCTCAATGTTCTCCCTGTAGGCAAAGGCTGAGCAGAGTCCTGATGACCCTTTCCCATTGCCCTGTCTTGTTCCACAGCTTTTTAGGAGGAAGTAGGAAGATGTTAATTTCCATCTTTTCCCTCATGCCAATTGTCATTCCCTTCAATCCCAATAACACCAATCCCAGGCAATAGGCCCAGGGGATAGAAATAAAACGTTGTACCTACGCTTGATAAACTGACTGGCTGATAGAGGAGAGGGCATGATAGCGGTGTAATAGGTACAGCAAGTGCACTGATAGGACTGAGTTGCAGGGAACCACCCACCTGAGTATCAGGCCACCCCTCATCACCCTGGGACCAGACACTGGAGCTGCCACTCAGTGATCTCAAAGGGCTTGACTGAAATCTTTGCAACCATGTTATAAGGATTTTTGGAGAAAACGACAGGGATAACAGCAGTTAAGCTGATCAAGGAAAGTATGAGTGGTGGGGGCTGGAGGGCACGGACAGAGGGGCAGGTGAAAAGCACAAGCTCTGGGGCATGCTGCCTGTGTTCAGACCATTTCCAGTGTTTCTATGTGGCTCCAACATCTGTCCCTCAGCATTCTATCTAGATATGGTTACTACAATTGTACCTACTAGTTCCTACGATTTTGAGGGAAAATTAAGCAAGATAATGCCTTTAAAGCACTGAGCACTATGTCTGGCATACCATTGGAGCATAAAGAAATAATACTTAGTATTGTTATCAAAGCTATTTGGTCTAAAAGTACTGAGGCTGACAGGCAGTATTATTGACATTTCAAAGGCAAAAAATAATGTGTGCGGGATGGACAAAAGTTATTATGCATCTATTCACCAAGTCTCGGAAGAGTAGACAGAACTCCTTGGAATCAAATAAACTTCTTGGAATCAAAATCAAATACTGAATGCTTGTTTCAGCTCTTACTAAATTGTGATCTTAGGTGAGCTGCTGAACCTTAGTTTTCTACATAAAACTGGAGGATAATGTCAATCTTGTGGATTGACTGCTAGAATAAAAAATGCAGTTACTTATAAATAAACCTGGCATAGTGCCTGGAATAAATGCTGGCTTCTTTCCTTCCTTACCAAAAGCTAGCAAGCCAGAGAAGACGATTAGTCAAACAATAACATTTAGATGTAGACTTAAAGAGCATTATGCTTGGATTCTGAGAAGATAAAAGGTTAAAATGAGGAATCTAGACTAGAGGACTATGATTTCATGATTCTTTAAAGTGACTACCCATAGGGAAGTTCCTTTTTTGTTACATATCATAGCTCTGCCACCTAATAAATATAACCTTTAGTAAATTACTTAACTTTATGTGTTTCCTCTTCTATAAAGTGTGGATAAAAACTGTATCCACTTCTATTCAGTGAGATAAAACACATAAAGAGTTTACATTTGCCTGGCAGATAGTCACTAATCAGTTAATGACAACTATCTTCATTGCCAAGGCCCCTGTAAAGATTAAAAGAGACAAAATGTGTACAAAGTATGGCACAGGTAGTGGTAAAAAATATTATTAATTCTACTACCACTATTGATTCTACATTATGAATGGCTATGACCCAAAGAGACTAGGAAGTGATACATGTTGTCATCCTGATAATGATACATCAAAACAGAGACAACAGGAGATATCAGGATAATTAATCACAGGTCCAACTGGGAATAAAAGCTTTCTGGAACAAACAGCCTTGTCCAGCCCAGACACAAGATGGGTTCACCCAAGGGAAACAGCAGGTGCTGGCTTCATTCTCTGCCCAGTCCTGGGGGACCACACACACAGAGACAGTGTTCCAGTGTCAAAGCTTTTCCATGGTTCATCTTACAGAGTAGTAACATAATAATGCCTTGGCCTGGAATGATGTCTTTCTGCCAGAAGTTCAAAGCTATCCAGAGAGTATCTCATTTATCTTTGGGATCCTACAGGGATGGGGGTGGGTAGGCAATGCTGCTATTCCCTTATAAAGATGAGAACAGACAGCTTAGAAAAATGAAATAGCTTGTCTTTGCTCCAGTAGTCTATCAGTGCTGAGAGAGGGCCTGCACCCCATGGTGGGATCCCTGAGGCCAGCTCTAAGCCCTACTCCTGGAAACACCTTGAAGAATGTGTGAGTAGTGTGACTTGGGCCAGATGTGGCCCCTTGCCTCCTTCCCAAGACCAGGTTAGCTACAAGGCTCACCTGTCACTGAACTGAACTTCTTCTCCATTCCTGGCCCAGCTGATGGTAGGCCTTGGGTGGCCGATGGCCTCACAGTGCAGAAGAACACTCAGTGTCCCGCTGGCCAGGGCCACCGTCTGTCCCAGGTGGGTGACCACCTCCGAGGCTGAGAGCTGCTGGGCTGCTGAGATCTTGCGCAGAATGGTGGGTTTGCGGTGTGGCCTTCGAGAGCCTCCCCCGGCGTCCCCGGCGGAGGAGGTCCGCAGGGAGCTGCTGAAGCCAGACACGTGTTTATGAGGCGAGATAGCCACGGGGGAAGTCCTGCGCTCTGAGGGCTTCAGGAGCGTGTCCTGGTGCTCCAGGTGGCTGCGGAAGATCTCCTGGGCCAGCTGGGCCACCAGGTGCTTGCTGTAGAGGTCGCGCAGCTCCTCGGGCTGCTGGGAGAGGTTCCCCAGGATGTCGTCCAGGCGCCGCTGCTCGGTCACCATGGTGAAGGGCAGCTGCAGGAGCGCTTGCTCCGCGCCCGGGTCCTCCTCCGAGGTCGCGTTCCTTTCCGCGGAGTCCTGCGCCTCCCAGGAGGCCAGCAGCTCTCCGGGCCAGCCGCCCTGCTCCAACAGCCGGGAGACGAGGTCGTCGTAGCGGCTCCCCGGGTTGGCGGCCAGGCCCCGCTTCTCCGCCTTGCTGCCGTTGGAGAAGATCCCGTTCTGGTGTTTGTGGGTCTGCAGGGCCTCCTTCGGGCCGGCCTTCCTCCCCATGAGCGCCTCTTCCTCACTTCTGGGGCTCAAGGGCCGGGACACGAGCTTGCGGTTGCCTCCAATAAGCTTAATCACAAAGTGCTCCCGGGCCGGGCCCGCTGAGCAGGTGTAGACGCCTGCATCTGAGGGCTTGAGGCGGTGGATCTTGAGGTAGCCGAAGGGGGCCACCGTGACGTGCGTCGAGCTGATGAGGTGCTGGCCGTCCTTCTCCCAGGTGATGAGGGGCTTGCGGACCCTGCGCGCCGGGCAGCGCAGAACCACCGCCGTCTTGGGGAGCAGGTAGGCGAAGCCCCCCACCACAAAGTGCAGCTTCCTCTGCCTGCGAGTCTGGATGTAGATCTTCCTGGCCGCCGCGATGTGCGGGCTGTGCTTCGTGGACGGCCGCCCGGGCCCTGGAAGGAGAGCGAACCCAAAGGGACAGAGAAAAGAGGTGGGGAGAGAGAAAACCCAGGGTGAGATGCAGCCAGGAGAGAGGGGCAGAGGAAAGGGCCAGAGTGGAGAAGAGAAGCAGAGATGAAGGCGCCGGAGGGATGGGAAAGAAAGTATTCTTCAGGGTTTATTTTGGCCGGGGCCAGTCTTTACTATCTGTGTTTTTCGGGAGGACCTCGTTCCCAGCTGTGGACCACCAAGCTGCCACCACAATCAGAACTAATGAGATGCAGTGGGCAACCCAGTGTCTCCCTGCTGGGCCTTGTTGCCCCTAGAAGCTGAGATGCAGAGTTCTAGATGGAGGGGGATCCCCCGGGGAAAGCCATTTCCTCTCATTAAAAGAATTTTTAAACAAGAAATCAACGTCATAAAAAGGCAGAGGACAGAGAGGAGAATGTCCTCCGCTAAATGTTTGCCTTCTGGGTCCTGCAAGGCACCAGAGCCCTAAAGGACATGGTGAGGAGAGCCTAGAAGTGTTGCGGCTCTAGGGATTAATATTAAACAGATCTGTTTAGAGTCGTTTAAAACCCCAGAGTGGAGAACATTAGACATCATTAGTAATACACTGCCTCCAGCCTCCAGATCTCTGTATGCCAGCAAGTGAACTTTGCTCTACCCCCTGCAAACTGTTTTTCCAGTGGAGAAGAGAATTCAGCCTGGCCACGTGTAATTAAGATTCCTTTTCCGTTTCCAGCTGAGCTCTCCTGCCTGCAGCCCTCCATGGGGTTCTACTGGCCCACTATTTCCCACAGGTGTTGGGTTTAGGGAAGGCCACGGAGTGCTGGCTATAGCTGCTGCTGTGTGGGTTTCATCTCCCCATTCCCAGAGCCCTGACATACTTACTTGCACAGGTTGCCAGCATACAGGGCCTGATGGAGGAAGAGAAAGGCAGGGGCGGGCACAGGGTAGAATTGACAACAGTTGAGATGCCGGTTTTCAGCATCTTTCGGCAAATGGCGCTTCGAGTCTGGGTGCCTTCCCCACAGCTTGTGGAACACTGGCGGAGAAAGAAAGGCCAAATGTACATAAATTCAGGGAACTAGACGCTAATTTTTTAATAGACTCTCACACTCATCAAAATATGAGAAAAGTTGCTTGGAAAAGCAATAACTACTGAGATAGAAATACTAATTATGAGGTCACAATGTGGAAGACATGCCAATCTTATAGACATATCGCACTCTAAGATTTTCTACTCTGAGGTTTCCTGAAGACCTTTTATCTATTTTACTTATATAGCCTGGGCTTCAGAGTTAGTTATAGAGTGTTTAAATCCCAGCTCAGTATTTCACTAGTTGGCAAGTTACTTAAATTCTCTCAGTCTGTTTCCACTTATGCTTAGTTTGCAAGCCTGTGAATTAAGTGAGATAATATATTTTAAATGCCATACATAGAAATGACAATTATTGCTAATTCCTTTTTCCTTCCTTCACAAATAAGTGACAGTATTTTAGTGTCAAGGTTAAGGTAGTTATGAATCTACTTTGTCTAAGGTAGGGTGCTAGATGTTATGAAGAAAAGATGTGCAAGATAGTTCCAAATCTCAAAGAGCTGTCATTCAAATGAGGGGAAAATTCCAAATGCATTGTTAAAATGAAATAGTCCATTTGGGAAATATAAGTCAAAATCACTATGAGACACCACTTCATATCCACTAGAATGGCCATAATAAAAAAAAAAAAGACAAATGTTGGCAAGGATATGGAAAATTAGCAGTTTCACTCATTACTGGTGGGAAAGTAAAATGATACAGTGTCTTTAGAAAACAGATTGGTAGTTTCTTACAAAGTTAAACGTAAATTTACCAGGAGACCTAGCAGTTTTACTCCTGGGTAGCTACCCAAGAGAGACAAAGACGTACATCCATACAAAGACTTGTGTGCAAACACTCATAGCAGTATGATTCATAATTGCCAAAAGTGAAAAATCACCCAATGCCTATCAGCTGGTGAATGAATAAACAAGATATGCCATATCTTTACAGTGGAATATTATTCAGCCATTAAAAGGAGTATAGTTCTTATATGTGCTACAACATGGATAAACCTTAAAAACATGCTAAGTCAAAGTTTATAATATATAAATTATACCTCAATAAAGGTGTTTATAGAATTGTAATTACAGAATTTAGTAAAAACATACAATTAGAAGACAAGTAAAGTAGTATAAAAGTAATGCTAACAATAATTGAATTCTCATAGTACACTAGGGATTTCCTCACCAAGGTCTTGAAGATGACTGGAGTCTGGGTGGATGCAGTGAAACAGGGATCAGATGGGAGAAAGGGAAATTTCCAGAAAAAAGATAAAAAAGTTCAGTGTAGGAGTCCCAAGGCAGGCATGGGACAGAACAGTTTGAGAGAACAGAGGGCTCAAGTTGTAAGTGTCAGGAGCTTGAGGGTTAGTTTGGGGCCAAATTTTGGAGACCTTTAATTTTCAGACAAGAGGTTTGTGATTGGTCCATAAGGCAGTGGGAAGCCACTAAAGAGGGGTTGACATGATGAAAGAGGTGTTTTGAGAAGGTTAATCTGGCAACATTGTAGGTAAGGGATGAAAGCAGGAGATGGATGGGAGGCAGGGCGTCGGGGAAGGAGGCTGTCATCTCCAGGCTTGCCTGAACGAGGACTGTGGGAGTGTGCCACGTTAACTTGAAAAATGATAGTAAAAACAAAAAACGATCTTATATTTTCAAGTGTTATATGCTAACATATTGAAGTGACACTATTTTGTGTGATGTGCTGTGATATATGCCACCCTGAAAGAAATTTAAGATGCAAAGGATAGTGGTGAGAATCAAACCCACTGCTTTTATAGCCTGACAATTGTGGGTTCCAGATTCCACCCATTCCTTATTTGATTGTAAATGACAGCACCAAATCCAAGATCAGGTGGGATGGAAGTAAGAAGCCTGAAAATTTAAAAGAGCATGGTCGTTTTAAGGCTGCTAAGTAGAAACATAAAAACAGAGTTTCAGGTCAGAACACTGGGTTATGACTTTGGTCCAGTCTAGCTCTTTCTCTACCTTCAATTTCCATATCTCTGGAATAAGGAAGCTAAGCTAGAGCAGGGATTTTAAAGCTGTGTTCCATAACTATGTTGACAAAGTGATTCAGGGGCTTCTCAGGTGGTGAGGAGACCCAGCTGTTGGAGATCTCAGACCCCTACTCACACTTAAACCAAAATAGCTCAATTTTATCTGTTTAAGATTATTGGCTTCATAGTAACATTTCATTTGATAAAGGTTCTGTGGTCTTAATTTTTTAACAAAGTAATTAGTCTATAGGATCTTTTAAGCTCCTTCTAGCTCTAAAATTATTCTTTTTTAAGAATTTTTTTTGGGGGGAGAAAGGAGCAACTTCCATAAAATAGGGTTTAAAAATATTTAATATCAAACTTTTTCAGGAGATTGAGGGTTTCTTTTAAAGAAAAGAAGTATGGCCTTTTGAGAGGTCTTACTTCCAAAATAGAATCTGTAAGTAATTTTATTTGAAATGTCTAAAACTTTGGCTTAATTCTGTCTCTATGGGATTCTGTGCAGTAACCATGAGATTGAGCCAAGATAGTTGAGGATGAAAAACACCCATAGATCATCTGGGTCTTCCCTTCTCCAAGGTCAGTCTCATGGGAGGTGTGGAATGCGCATCTCCTCTCAGCCAGAGGGCCAGGGGAATGGTCATCAGGATGACAGGGCCAATGTGGAGCCTTTGTGAACACCAGGAGCGCTTCAGTATGGCACCAGTTTGAGTTTAATCCCAGCAATTCAGGGATTACTTCCCACCATTCCCAGCCCCTCCCCAATGTTTGGAATTTCCATTCATTAACCCAGATAGCTCAGAAGCTAGCAACATTCCTTGGATAAGGGCTACCTCCTCCCAGTTCCAAAAATAGAACTTCCTCTTGAGGAAGACCAGGAGAGCCTGTAGGAGACCTAAGCTGTGGCCTCAGGCCCAGCCAGCCACGGTGAGTACTTCCTTTCATTTCCTTTCCTTCTCATGACAAGTGAACCCAAATGGAAGAGAATCATAAGGGCTCACTTTTAGTAGGCCAAAGTATTTTACATGCAATATATATTAAATTATATTTAATTTCAGCCTCCCACCTACATGATAGATACTATTATATTTCCATTATAAAGATAAGCAACCGAAAGCCAAAAAGGTTAAATAATTAGCCCAAGGTTATACAGCCAGTAAGTGGCAGAGTCAGGATTTGAACCTAGGTTTGCCTGTCTTTGAGTCTGAACTCTTAACAACACATGATACTGTTCTGAAGGCCTACTGTACTTAATGGTATCAATGGGACCTTTTTCTCAGTCCAAAAATCTCAAGGGTCCCTCTCAAATCTGTAGTCAGAAAAGAACTTTTTCTGAATCTTCTGTGTCTCATAGGCTTCAGAGACCACAAACTCCAGGAACACAGGAAGACAATTATAACACACACAAGTCCCTTCCTCAGCAGCCCACTCATGGCAGACTATCACCTAATAGATTTAGGGGAGCAATTTCTTTTATAATACTCCACTGATAGACTGTTTTCATCTAGAGCCACTTGGCAAATACATCTGTGTTCTTCAAATGCCATACCCCAAATCAACATTCCCAAGGAAAAATTGTCACTAACGTGCACATCCACACACACGCAAATGTACACATGCTCATTTTACTCACTTTTATCTTGAAATCAAATTTAGAAAGAAATCGAATTTCTTTCTAAAGCATGAGAAAGAAATTCCCCAAATGTTCTGAGACATTTGGTGTCAGATACCACAAGCAGCAATTTTACTGCCAAATTATAAAACCTGTGGTAATGTAAGTTAACTCTTAATTGCAATGCACTTAGCAGGCACCATCTCATGGAATTCTGTGTGGGTTGATAAGATATGGGCAAGAATTCTAAGAACGTAAGTTGAGAGAGCTGGATCTGAATTTTCACAGGCCGCTCTGCCCTCTGTAAGCAAGTATCTATGTGAGGTATTTCAAGCAGCAGCAGCTCCCTCCTGTGAGTTGTATACTATACAAAAAAAAAAAAAAAAAAAGAGTGGGGTTAGGAAGGCAATTTCAAATGCTTATATGCTAGAAAAAGGAAGGTCTTGAATCTGGCTTCACAGAAATTTTCACTTCGCGTCTAGAGATCCTGTTCTTGGCTAAATCTTGTGAGGCAACAATTTTGGGGGAACTTCTCCATGGAAGACACACAGGCCTATGGAGCTGGAGAATTCGAAGGCAACTCAAAGAATTGGTAGCGGCTGAAAACAAAGGACTTGAAGCTAGGTGTAAATGAATGATCATACACTAGAATTAGAAGAGGCATTATTTAGAAAGATAGGTTAGTCAGAGGTATGTCTCTAACTTAGGAGATCAAGTCAGGAATGGTGAATACTGAAGCAATCACTTCCCAAAGTGCAGAACAAGGGAAATCAAATTCTCTTGCTGGGAAGCTGTTGAAGTTTTTTAGAGCCAGGAAACTAACAGTAAACAGGCAGGATTTCCTTGGCCTTCTTTTCCTAATAAATCATGTCCTTTATTGTCCAGTAACTTGGAAGAGACTTGCTAGAGAGGCTTTGCCCTTCCTAAATAGAGACTAGAAACATCTGGGAGTAAGAGGTACAGGGAGGTCAGGAGGAGGGGGTGTTGTGTGGAGATAGAAGGAGAAGAACCCAGTGTGTGGAAAAGAATCCTGGGCCAAAACAGCACCATTGAGGTCTGGTTTTGCTCCACGAGGAGCCCATTTACAATTCCAAACTTCCGATCATTGGGTAGGGGCTGGCTGTGTAACTCAGGTCCCCGCAGTCTCGTTAAAAGCTAGTTACACACTATGGTATATATGGTTTAAAAAAAGTACTATTCCATAGTATTAGGAAGATTGTTTTGTTCTCTTCTTGCCTTTTCTATGTATATGTCTGGGGTGCCTTCTTTTCCAACTTGGGTCTCTCTTATTCTCTCCTGAGGAACATACATACCTCTGTCCAGTCTGAGAGAAGCCACTCGCTGGGACAGTCATCTTTCTTGCATGTTTGCTGGGAGGCTGGTTTTGAAGCTGAACAGAAGGTCTCAGGAAGCTCCAGGAAGCTGCCATCAGCCATGCGCTGCTTGCAAAGAACCTCGCGTTTCTGAACACCCCCACCACACGTTCTGGAACACTGGGGAAGGAAAGAAGGAAGGAAGAAAAAGTAGACCCAATATGGGAAGGCAGTCTGTCTGACTGCTAATTCTCATCTTAGTTTGGCAGAGTAAAGGAAGAAGAAGAAGAAGAAAAAAAAAAAAAAAAACCCAGAAAAAGAAGAAAAACCAGGAATCAGCCCAAAGGATTTGGTTTCTTCTCTTTGAGATGAATTTTGTAGCAAGATCTACCCTCTCCACTTAATCCCAGGTATTTAACTAGAGCATCCAGGAATTTCTGGGGCCTTTAAATCTTAGAAAGTTGCTCCTGAACTATGATTTGCAGCCCCATCCAAGACAACTGGTTTAAAAGGTTAGTATAATAGAGTGTTCAGCATATTTACGATCCAGGGAAAATAATCTGTGTTGCTTCCAGAATGAACAGGAGAGAGCGCCTGCCATCAGTATAAATTTAGAGAAATTAATTTGCAGAAAAGACAGCCCTTTCTCTAAGTGAAGGCACTCTACCACACTGAATGGGCATTAGATTTAGGGTCTGGTTTTCTTAAGAACCCCCCTGGAATATTCTTCATGCAGGATTGATGATTTCTTAGGGCAGTGGAAGCCTGAGCCACTGAAATTTGGAATGCAAGAAAAATGGCCTCATGTCAGTGGTTTTCAGAGGAACCCCAATAAAACATTGTTTACATGTAACTGAATAGTTATGATCCAGGGGCATGAAGTGGGAGGGAGGCCCTCTGAAGCACAGACCGTTGGCTATTTTCAAATATGTGTCCCTTTACAGAGCAAAGGAGTCCCCGGCTTTTCACTGGGCATATGACATTTCAGCATAAAGACTATATTTGCCAATCTCCCTTGAAGATAGATACAGCCATTTGACTTAATGCTGGCCAATGGGATATAAACGGAAGGGTTGCGTGTGCTTTCGGGGAAGTGCCCAAAAAGAGGGTCTGGCATCTCTTCCCTTTCTCTTCCCTGCTGGCTGCCATGTGAATGTGATGTCTGAAATGTAAGCTTCCATCTTGGGCTGTCATAAACAAAAAGTTAGAAGCCTGGCTTCCTGACTGTGAAACCACCATACCCGTTCTGGACTGTCTGTGTTTAAGTGAGAGAGGAAGACTTTTCTTTTTAAAGCCAATGTTATTTTGGGTTTTCTATCACTTTCACTCAGACATAACCCTAGCTAAGAGTTCAACCCACGACTACTCTGTGGTGGGGATATTTTATTGTAAAATTTTAGGGAGCCTGCTGATTTCTTCCAGAATAGTCTCTCATCATTAGCTTGCTGCCTTTGGCCTTGCTGAGAGATCAAGCCTGGTTTTAAGAAGCCTGAGAGTTTGTGCTGAAGGACTTGCTCTGCTGGAGGAGTGCCCCTCTCAGAACTCATGGTGATCTTTGCCTAGTAAGTTGTACTCAGAATGGCTATGGGGGTTTTTGCTGGCAGTTAAGGTTATGATGGTGACACCAGTGTCCTTGGGTACAGTCAGAACATTGCTGCAGCCCAGTTTTCACCTTCTTACTCAGTGTTCTCAACCCTACATGCACGTCAAGGTCTCCTGGGAAGCTTTTTAAAAGTACTGATGCCTGGGCCTCACTTCAGACCCAACAAATCAGAAATTCTGGGAGGTGGGTCCCAGGTACCAGTTTTTGTTTCGTTTTGTTTTTAAGAAAGATAGTATAATCTTCTTCCAAGTAATTTTTCCTCAGATAATTTTTTTGTGTCTCCAGGGCTGAGAACCATTTCTCCAAATGAATGTTCTCTGGGACCCAGAGAGGAAACTCTGGGACCCAGAGAGTTTGTTAGGACTGTTAGGACCAGTGGTTGTTTGGACCCCACCTGAGCAAACACGCCATTTGTCTGCAGTTGTGAATGGCTTGAGGTCACAGAGCTAGTGGATAATGATGTTAGAAAAGTAATCAACTTTGTCTAGTTAAGCCTTTTAGTCTTAGAGTCTTCTAAATGATTCAGACCAATGGTGAGCAACCTTTTTTTTTTTTTTCCTTTTCAAATTTTAAAAAATAACCATATTGAGTCTCCTAGGAAAAAGGATATATTTTCTTATTGCTGGGATCAACTACCTACCCATTGAAGCATTGAAGGCTAACAAAAAATGTGAAATGACCCTACAAGCTAGGTCTTATTTCCATTTTACAGGAAAAAAAAAAAAAAAAAAAAAAAAAAAGAAAAAAAAAGCTGAGGCTCAGAGAGGTAAACAACCCAATGAAGGCCACACAGGGGCTAGAGTTGGTTTATTGCCATTCATTGCGACATTTACTGAGCTACTGGACACCATGCTCTGGACACAGCTGGAGAACAAGTCCAAACTCAGCTTCCCTCCTCTGTGGTTGTACAACTCCTGTGTGCTTTGCAGACCCAGAGGAGGGTAGCGTGACTGTTGCTTCATGAGGAGGGCTCCCAGCCTGATGAGCACCAAGCCTGCCAGGAGCCTGGTCTTACCCTTTCACCCAACTGGGCTTTGCCATTCAATTCTTAGCTTCCACTCTTGTGACCATCCCTGACAGGCAGGAGCCAGCCCACAATTCAGGTTGGGGAGCAGAATTTAAAGTAGTTCGTCTACATTCTGGTGACCCTGGAAAGTTTAGGGAGTTCTCCCTAAACTCTGATTTCTGAAAGGCAACATTTAAGCTAGACCACTTGTTACTCATCACAAGTCCTACCAGCTCCTTCTAAAGGCTTTTCTAGTGTGTCCTTTGGGCTTGATTAAGAACAAAACCTATGGTCTCAGAACAAATGATTCAAGTGACTGGCCTAAACCTTTGTCTTCTTTGTGGCTTACTTCAGTGACTCTGTGGGCTTTTCATGTATTGAAGAAGCAAATTTTAATTTTAGCTCTCATTTGGCAGCGATTCAATAAGACATTAAAGGATTTCCCTTCTTTAACTAATGTTGTACCCGCGCTGCCTAGAATAATGCCTCCTGTGAATGTTCTCAATAAATGTCTGTGGCATTGAATTGAAGTTGGTACTTGGAAGAAATTTAAATTAGTGGCTAAGAATTTCATTTATCTAGAATAATCTTCTTGTTGTTATGGATAACTAAGGTTTTAAATTTAGTTTTAGTCTTTTGCATGATTTTTAAGGTTCAGCCTTCTCTTATTGCTGTCAAATTCTTACATCAAACCAACAAGTTATACTATAATCAGATTAGTTACAAACTTTTCTTGTTCATTCTTTCTTTTTATAAGTAGTCAACTAACCATGTGGATTACTGACTCTGAAGGATTTGCCAAATTTGGGGACTATATTCTCCACAATACTTTCCATTCTGTGAATTACTAAGATTCTTCCATGAACTTATTGTAATTCTTCTGAAACCACAATTGTCGGAAAGAAACAAGTTTGTGCTGATAAATCAAAAATTTTAATTTTAAGCTCTGACCTCTCCCCTAGGCCTACTCAACATGTCCACTTAAATGCAAATAGGCATCTTGATTTAAACATGCCTAAAATGGAACTCTTAATACTGCCCCTCCAACCTCATCCCAAACCTATTTCTCTCTCAGTCTTCCCCATTCATTTAATTGTGCCACATCCAGGGCAAAAACTTAGGCCCTTGAGTTTTTCTTTTTTCTTACCCCACTTCCCCTGACATCCAATTCATGGCCAAATAAGGTCAGTTTTACTTACAAAACATATAAGCTATACTTCTAAAATACATAATGAATCAGCATACCATAATCCATCATCTCTTGCCTTTTACTGGTGCTCTGGTCTGAATGTCTGTGTCCTCCCTGCCACTCCCCTAAATTTACATGCTGAAATCCTAACTCCCAAGGTGATAGTATTAGGAGGTAAGGACTTTTGGGAGGTGATTAGGTCATGGGGGTGGAACCCTCAAGAATGGGATGAGTATCCTTATAAAACAGGTTCCAGAGAGCTGCCTTGCCCCTTCCATCATGTGAGGACACAGTCACAGAGACCATCTATGAACCAGAAGAAGGGTTCTCACTAGACACCGAATCTGCCAGCACCCTGACCTTGGACTTTCTACCCTCCAGAACTGTGAGAAATAAATTTCTGTCATTGATAAGCTACTCAGTCTATGGTATTCTGTTTTAGCAGCCAGAATGGACTAAGAAATAGCGTTTCTAGCAGGATATAGATGATACAATCAAATGTGATCATTTGAAAAGAGCTCCTCCCTCCTGTTGGAAACCCCATATTGTCTTCTCTACACTCTATTCTCCACACAGTAGCAAGAGTGATGTTTTCAAAGCATAAATGTGATCACACAATTTCCATGCTTAAAACCTTCCAATGACGTTCCCTTGCAATGAGAATAAAATCTACACTCCTCTAACCCTGCCCTGCAAACCGCTATAGATTCTGGTTCCTGCCCTGGTGGAACTTAGACATTGTCTAACTCAAATCCTTCCAACTTTATTAATTCATTCCACATAAATTTATTATATGTCAATGATGAACCAAGCGTGGTTCTGGGTAGGTGAATGTACAGCAGAGCAAGAGAAGCGTCGTACACCTCTGTAATCTTATCTTTTACGACTCCCCACTTTCCCTGTATACTCCAACCGGACTTGTTTTTTGTTGTTTTGTTCCTCAAATATGTCAAGCTTGTTTCTCCCACAGGGCCTTTCCATTTGCTCTTCTTTCTACCTGCACCATTCTTCTCTTAGATCTTCATGTGGCTGAGTCTCTTGAATAATCCAGGTTCAATTCCATTCTCAGCTGTGTGGAGAGGTCATCCCTAACCTTCCTACCTAGAGTAGTCAAAGGGGTCTCTATCACCATTACCTCATTTTATTTTTAAAAATAGCTTTCATATTTTCAGAAATTATTACCCATTTAGACCATTAGCTCTATGAAGGAAGAGATGTTGCTTCTGTTGTTGCATATATTAAGTGTTTGAGAATTTCATTTAAAACTTTTCCCCAGTATATCATTACATCTTTTAAAAAAAATTAGGATTGACTAAATCCACCTCTAGTTTTCTTTCCTACACATGCTCTCTCCTTTTCTTTCTTTTAAAATTAATGATTTG